TGAGGTCCCTCCTGAGTGCAGACACTGTGGTCTCATGGTCAACACCATATAGTGTTTGCATGAAGCTTTACAACCCACAAAGGTCTCTCTGGGTCCTCTCAACAGCCTGTGAGGTACTACGGGCAGCTACTGTGGCTGCATTTACTTTTGAGGAATGCACACATACAACCGAGGAATCCAGTGTAACTTACCCATCACGCATCTTGTAATTGGTGAAATCTGGACTCCTCCACAGGACTCCTGGTTGCCTCTTCACCCGTTGTTGCTCTGCTCTGTATCCTGGAGGCTGGAGCCCTGCGTTCCCAGTCTAGCACACACTCCACTGAGCAAGCAAACCATCCCCGCCAGCCCCCCTGAGCAGATGGGGTGGCGGAATCACCTGTGCTAAGTGATGGCCCTTATGGGCACTCCTAAAAAATCTCTTCTGCCCCAAAATATCTCATATAGAGGATCCATGGTTTAAGATAATACACCACAGATTCCATTAACTGTTAAAACCTAGTTATCCAAGAGGTTAATATTCTGTTACATACATCTTCCTATTCAGTGATGTGTCTGATATTCAGGACAGCATCCCCAGAAACAGTGACAGGGAGGGCATGTTGGTGTTTTTTGTTTCTTTTTTTTTTTTTTTGGCGGGGGGGAGGCTCTGGGTTGCTGGGACTCTCTGCCACCTCCACAGTGTTGCTTACACTATGCAACGCAGCACAGACTGCACGCAGCACAGACTGCACGCAGCTCATCAGCATCCATATCTACCTTTTTCCCTGGGCATTCAGCCAGACTACATTTCCCAGAATCCCTTGGAGTGTAATGTGGCCATGTGATTGAGTTTCAGCCAATTAAATGAGAACAGAGGTGCTCTGGGCCACTTCCAGGACAATGAAGAGGAGAAAGAAATCCTTCTGGGTGGCTGAAGACTACGACCCCAGGGCAACCTTGGAAGCCTTTGTCCGCGACAGAAAAGTGGCTGTCACCTAGGTTTCTGAATGACGTGTAAAGGACTCTCTCCACAGTCAACCTGCACAAACAACCAGGATTTTAACTCTTATTCACTCTCATGTCCACAGCACCAGAACAGTGCTTGGCACCTACTGCATATCATCCAACTTAAGACATCATTGAGTATAACGCACACCATTATTTTATGTAACACTGAGAAATTAAAAATGCTGCCAATTAAACTATGACACCATGTTTCCACTAAGGGTTTTTATTTTTGCAGTCATTGAAGGAGCTCTTTTCGACTTGGTTAGTCGCAGGTTTTCATCATAAATCACTCATGTGCATAATAAAATGGGAAATAGAAGTGAAATAACTGGGGAATGGAGTGGCCAACAGCCTGCAGAACAACATGCCCAAGTTTTGTCATGACCATCATGATACATACCTCACCCATGACCCTCCATCTATGCGAAAGACACACTGCAGTGGGCTAGCCGGATCTCCAGAGGAAGAATACTCTGGAAATTGTCAGTTACCAAGCAACTGAGTCTACCACTTAAGAATCCATACTAGAAAAGATCTCAGTGGAGATTTTTGGGGCCTATGACAGAGGAACTCAATAAATTTGTGGAAGAGAGAGGGAACTCATTTAAAAGATTTATAAAATAATTTACATGTTAACATATAATTATTTGCATATCCTAGAAAGGACATTGACTGGGAACTGAAATACCTGAACCTCCACTTAGAAGTTGTGTGACATTGGGCAAATCCCTTAACCTCTATGGGATTCATTTATCTGTGAATCAAAGAGAGGGCTATTGTGAAAAAAAGAAAAGATAAATCAAAGTGAAAGTACTGGTATAGAAGACTAAATAAATGATGGTTGAGGTGAAGACTTATGTTTCGTCTCTTAAAGGAGAGAACAATTGGGATATTGAACACCATAATGCAGTGTTGCAAAGCCATCCCCTTCCTTCAGCAGCTTCAGCTCCCTTTCCCACCGGAATTGGCTGTCCCAGCTCGGAGCATGCTGCCATCTGCTGGGAAGAAGGGAGAAGGCATGCCACGGCATTCCTCAACACTGGGCCTTCCCGGGAACAATCTGGAAGAGGGGAAGCGCCCGGACCCAACTCCCCCTCCGCTATGATTTTTATGCCGAGGTAGCCCCCTCACCATTGGCTAACAGTTTGTCAGAAAAATAAGATGTCAATCGATGTTTCTTTTGAAAAGGGATAAGATATTATTTAACCTTAAAGAAGGAAGGAAATTCCAACACATGCTACAACATGGATGAACCTCCAGGACACTGTATTAAGTGAAATAAGCCAGTTTCAAAAGAGACAAATACTGACAATTCTGCTTTTACAAGGTATCTGAAGTCACGTTCAGAGAAACAGCAGAATGGAGGTTGCCAGCGGCTAGGGGAGGAGGAAACAGATAAAGAGTTTCAATTTTGCAAGATAAAATATTCAGAAGATTAGTTGCACAATGATGCCTTACATTATTAAACTGTGCAGTTAAATAGTTAAAATGGTAACCTTTATATTATGTATATTTTACCATAATGAAAAACATCAATAAGTGATAAGGATAAGCCCGGGGTAGGTGCCTGACTTCATGATAAAATCCTGGTAAGTATCTGTTGGGTGAGGATGGAAGGAAGCGATGCTGGCAGATGGGCTCAGACACCGGGGTGGATGCAAGAATGCACACCTTTCCTTTCCCAGGAAAGCCTTGCCGGCAACTCTACTGAGTCACAGCCACCTTGTGGTGATAAACCGGTTCTCTTTCCTGCTCTCATCTCAGAACTGAAACTTTTTCTTTTCACGTCATCTGACGACAGCACAGCATCAAATCCAGCCTGAGCCAGAACGTTCTCCCAGGGAACTATAATTTTGATCAGCACTGGCTGTGGCAGTTCCGTTTCTGTTGATTCCAGAGTTGCACGTTCCCAGATCGCAGAACTTCAGAACGGTAGGGGCTCTGAGCAGTGTGGTGAGGTTTAAGAGATTTGTCTTCTACTTAATAAACAATATATAAATACATAAGACATTTTAAATAATGACTTTGCAGAAGCCACAGAGCCGGAAAGTGGCAAAGCCTTTCTCCCTCAGAGCCCCCCACCCCTCCCATCCCTCTGCTCTCACTGTCCGCCACGGCAGCAGGCAGAGCATGGGGCAGGTTACCCCCCTCAGCTTCTAGTGGACAAGGCCACTGCTCTGCAAGAGGAAAGTTCCCCTTGTGGTTAGTGACCCATGAGGCCCATCTGCCATGGGATAAGAGGGCAGCTGAGTCTGTTCACAGCAGAACTCTCAGCCCTGAGGCAGGTGTCAGATCCTCCAGGGGAAGCAAGGCAGAGAGCAAAGAGCTCATGAGCCCAAAGGCACTGCCAGCTGGCTCCTCAGCTGCCTGAATATCTCCCGGAGGCTTGGAGGCTCTGAGGTCAAGCCTGTGAACAGCTCTGTCTCCCTTCAACTTCCCTGCCTGATTGTCCTGTCTCACCCAGAGGGACGCAGAATGCCAGATCTTACTGAAACTATTGCAGGTAGAATTCACAAGAGGATTTAGTTCATTGGCCCACAACCCCTAGGATTCCTGGGCTTGGAGTGCTTCCTAAACTTCCTCTAACCACCTCTAACCCAACAGGATGGAGAGGGGAGCTTGTTTCTGGGTCAAGGGAGTTGGTTGCCATGAGTGGAAGCCCAAGTCTAGGGAAGGGAAGGGAAGTAGAGATGGGACGTGCAAAGAACCAGGAACCTGCAAAGAACCAGGAACATTACACTGCACCCATCCACACCTGCTTGGAAGTTTGAATAACCAGTTTCTCCCCGTTGCTTTCAGTGTCCAGGAGTGGATCTCTGTTTCCACGTGTCAAGAACAACACTGTATCCTCTCCCAAAGCCTTGCCAAAGACATTCCTTTGCCCTCAATCACCAGGGGTGGGGCGAGGTAAGAGAACTCAACACTCCCCCTTTCCACCCCTCCCCATCAAAGCTGCAAGGTTTCTCACTTTGGGGGGCCCTTAGGGAGACCTTGCAGTGGGATGGGGTCTGAGCAGCTTCATCCTGGCTCATCACAGGAGCATAAGGTTCCCAGGGGCAGCTGGCCTTCATCTGAGGGCTCCAAAACAGCTCATCTGTGGGTTTAAGTAACTACCTTCTTAGTTAAACCAAATCCCACACACCCGGAGACTTGAGCGAGTTTCTGTTCCACCATCATCTTTTCTTAGGGGTTCCAAATGTCACGTGGATGGCGCCTGAGCATCCACAGGCTGCCCAGGTCACATGGAGCTGGCTGGGATAGGATGGGTGGTGGGCAAGAATTACATCCTCCAGAAACAAGTACACAATGGATCCTCCCCGGGGCAGAACCCACTGCTTTATGGGTCTCAGGCCTCATCCATTAACATATCATTGGGGAAAAGCAGATGACCATGGAACTATCATCCAAACTGGGACATTTATGATAGCAAATGAACATCATGAACCAAGACATCCCTGGCACGAGGATACCTCACCTATCCCATCAGGAAATAAACCAAATAGGAGAAACCAGCTATTACCATGTCTTGCTTTCCCTGATATGATTATGAAACCGAAGCATGAACCTCTCCTCATCAGAGCAGGTAAAATCGTCAGTTTTTGGTGGTGATACTGAAACCAGAAGGCCATAAAATGAGGTTTAAAACTTTGTCTCCCTGAGGCTATTCTCACTGGCAAAGTGCACTCTGTCCCTTTGGTTCATGCTCAAATCAGAAGAAAATCCATCTGGTAGCCCTTGTTACATGAGAACATCCAGGACCGCAGGGCAGGAACACAGATTTTTCAGTTAATTATTAAGAAGCCACTTCTAGGAGGTGCAGCAGTATGGAGTACTTCCTCAGGGGTAGAGAAAATTTCCTGAATGTTAAGAGTACAAGCAAGCTATTCTGTAATTCCATATTTGACCTGCAGGGGGCAACATCTCCTCAGCAATGACCAATCACAGGCATTATTGCAGGAAACATTTAATTGGCCAACGAGTAAGGGGTTAAAAAAAAACCAGATCAATATATTTCCAATAAGCAATTTCCACCTTTACATATTTTCATACATGGATTTTGCTCTTTTTCTATTTACAGTACAAGGTACACAGTGAGTTTTTAACAAATAAATACTTATGAATTGACCAGTTTGTTGAAGAGAAACCCAGATTTGCCTGAGGCATTGTAAGTACAGGGTGAAACAGGAGGAAAGAAACTAGGGATTGGTGAATGTGCATGGAAAAACACTTTCCTTTCTGGTTGATAGCTGGCCCAGAAAAAATTAAATGCATTTGAGAATGTCCAAATGGTCTTTCTCCAAAAGCAAACCAGTATTAATATAATGCTTTAAAAACAAAGATGCGAAAAATAAAACAGTGATCTTGGTGTTATAAGTCTTCCCCGACATTTCAAAGTCCATCCTACATACACATTGCATAAATTATTTCCAGGTTTATGCAGGTTTCTACATGTTTAAAGGTCTTACATTTAGACTCTGATTTAGATGCATTAACTCTGAAGCACCTCCACCTCTGTCCCCACCTAGACTCGGAAGAGATTGGCTGAAGCCATCAAAGTCCACCATCCACGGAGGAAGGGCTGCTGAGATTAGTCTCCCCAAGCAGCTCTGAGCACGAGCAGGGGACATGCACGAGTGTTGAGTCAGCAATACTCCTCTTCCCACAGAAGAGCCCCACACAAGTCCCCAGGGAGCCGCGCCTCTGCAGGGACTGACCCTGCAGCCATCTGTCCATCTCTCTGATTGAGCTCCTCACTCAGTTTTCTAAGCAGCAGAGAATCAGCACCTTTAATGCCACCAGTGTCCCTGAGCACCCTAATCCCAGATGGATCCCCTTTCTGAAGGGACCAACAGACTCGGAAGCTTTGGAGGGCGGGCCCTGAGAGGGAGGGGCTGGGTGAGGGGCATACCCCACAGCCCTCAGCTTCATGGAGGGTGGTGGTTTTCCACAAAAGCTGCAGGTAGGTGTTTCAGCTTCACCCCTGATGACATGGGCCAACCTGGGGCTACTGGCCATTTCACAGGCCCAAGCCCCATCTTTCAGGGTTCACGGTCACACTGCTTCACTGGGTAAAACCTCTGCAGGGAGAGGAAGGAGCAAGGCCACCAAAGCAGGGGCAACCAGGAGGGAGTCATCTGTGACACCTTGAACCAACAGGGCCACCATAGCCAGAAGGAGCGGCCTCTCTGTCCAACCGGAAGACCCTGCAGGAGCCTGGGCCACCTTCCCCCGCTCCCCGACTTGCTGAGTCCTCTGGGAGAGCTCTCAGCGTCGCTGCCGCCCCAGCTCCGAGCCAGGGGCCAGGGCCCTAGGTACACATGCAGGTGGGATGCAGGGGATGGGAGCTGCATTACATCACCCCCACAGGGTGCAGAGGCTATAGGTGGGTGAGCTCACCCAAGGAGGGGAGCGAGCAGGCGATCCCACAGCCAGGGCCCAACCTCAGGACAGGTGATACTGTGGCAGTACGGTGTGCCACGGACCCAGATGTGGCCAAAGCGAAGGCCCTCCACTAAGGAATGTCTATAGGTCGCTGAAGCAGAGAGCATTAGGAAGCCCCCCAGGGGAGGCAAATGTCAAGGTGAAGAGGGGAGGCCTTCACGTACCAGGACGGGCAGGGTGGCAGAGTCACAGAGAGGTAGAGTGGGCATGTCAGAGAGCTGTGGGCCCTGCCCACCACACTCCCCAGCCAAAAAGAAAAAAGTCTCCACATGCAACCAGGCCTCTTCCCGGCCTCGTCATGACAACCAGGCAGCTCACAGTTGGGACCAGCATGGGCCTGGTATAGACCCAAGGGTAGAGTCTGGGGCAGGGGGTGGTGAGGGAGGTAGTGTCCTTGTCCTTTGAGGGTGAGGCTGCCCCCAGGTGCAGCTCTGGCCCAGAGGAGAGCTGAGAGAAGCCAGGTAGAGTCAGCCTCCCCACTCTGCCTATTCCCAGCCCCCACCCAGGAAAGACCTGGGAGATGGGGAGGAAAGCACATCACTTTCCACCCTGGGGAAGCGCCGAGGATGGTCCAGGCTGAGTCACCATGATGTGGTAGATAGATTCCCGGAAGCGCTGATCTCGGCTCAGCCGCTTAGCCACCTCTTTCAGCTCCTCTATGTTGTTGGCTTCCAGCTGGGAGGTCATGAAGGACTGGGACGGCTTCACTGGGGAGATGACGGCCCCACGGGCTGGTGAACGGCCCTTCCTCCCTCACGGCTTGGCCCTGTCCCCACCCCCAGCTCACCTCCCTCACTCACCGCCCTAGTGCGGGTGAGCTTTCCCAGCCTCTTCCCATCCATGGGCTCTTCTACTCCTGGGAGAAACCCAAGGCTGGGGGAGCAGGTTCAAGGCCACAGTGTCTGGCCTCAGAGCTGGGCCAGCCCTTCCCACTCTGCACCCTGCCCTCGTCCTGCTTTGTCACTGGTGGCCTGCAACTATCCCCATTCCACCAGGACACACAGACGCACACACTCACTGTCATTCCAAGTGGTGCTGGACCGGCGCCGATGGAAACGGCAGCTCTTGATACGGCGAGTGGCTGCCTTGTGGATGTACACGGAGTTCTTCATGATGACCGGCATCTTGGCCTCCAGCTCCGCGTTCCGGATGCACTCCTCGAAGAACCCTGCGTGGAAATTTCACGGCATCCTCCTCCCCTCCCGCCCCATCCCGCCCGCTCTGCCCCTCCCAGGATCCAGGCGCAGAGCGAGAAACTCATTGACCCCATCTCTTGGGAGACCAGCGCCACCTGCTGGAGGGGGCAGAACTGCAGGCTTTTCCCTCCCAACCACGGAAGTCCAACACCCAAAAGGAAGCTGCACCAAGGAGATGGCTGCAGGCAGGATTCTGGAGAAGCTCCATCAATATCTACAATATCTAACGCACACCAGACCCTGCTCTAGGCCCTGCTCCAGGTTCCATGGGGCTGGACATGGCTGGGGCTGAGCTCCAGGACTGAGGGTCTGGGCACCCAGGCCTTACTTTTCAGATGGCTCACGTCAGCCCGCATCCTCTCCTCCTTCTCCTTGTTCCGCACCTTGGAGTTGAGCCCTTGTTCCAGGCTCCTCAGGGCCGCCTCGGCCTCCCGCAGGCGCCTCTCCAGGTCCATGCGGACCTTCACCTCGGCCTGAAGGGAGAGGGAAGGAGAGAGATGTGGGGTCCTGGGCAGCAGGTGCCACCTGCCCCGGAAGCCTTCCCTGATCACCGCCCCCGCCCCCCCCCCCCGTTCAAGAGGGCCTTCTCGCCTTTCGATGTCAATGGAAGCTTCCACCTCTGGCCTTGTGTCTTACACCCTCAACCAGATGCCCCAGACTCGGCTGCACACCCAGCAAGGACGCCCCACGGAAGCGGCAGGCCCACTGCCTCCCCTCAGAGTGGCCTGCACCTGGCTGCTCAGGCCTGCAGACAGCATTCAAGTGGCTGCCTGGTAACATGCAGGCCTGCAAGGGAAGTCTCCGGGGCAGGGGAGGCACCTTGAGCTCCTGCTCCGCCTGCTGCTTCTGTGCCGTCAGCTCCTGCAGCGAGTTCTGCAGCGCCTGGGACTGGCTGGAATAGAACTCGCGCTCCTCCTCCAGGGCCCGCGAGCGTTCCTCGTTCTCCTTCATCCTGCCCGGTGGAAGAGGCCCTCCGTCAGGGCTCACCCAGTGTTTCCAGCGGGAGGGCAGCCCCTCACTGAGGGACCCGGCCGGAGAAGCCTTAAGACCCAGGCTTCAGGAGCCCCTGAACACTCGGGGTCACCTAGGTGGCTAGAGGAGCAGTCTTCGAGTCAGAAGACCTGAGTCCTGGGTCCAGGTCTTTTTGGTTCTGCGACCTTCAGAAAAGTCCTATGACCCTTCCATGGCTCAGTTTCCTCATCTCTAAAAAGGGGCTAAGAGGGCCTTCCCAGAAGGCCACAAAGCATTGTTATACGGACCTACTGACTGTCTGGACGGCTTGCACCATTCTAAAAGATACTGATGCAGTCAGTTCTGGGTAGAGAAGGTTCTCTCATTTGCCTGGTGAGAAAACTGAGTACTAGGCAAAAGGAAGTAAGTGGCCTATATGGGCAATGGCAACTAGAACCTAAAAGCCCAGGTGTCCAGTTCATGGAAAATTACTGATCACCAAAGTCAATGATGAACTCCAGGGTCCCGGGCTCCTCACCGCTTCTCTGCCAGGAGCTTCTCCTCCAAGAGCTGCTGCATCTTCTCCTCGATCTGCCTCAGGTTGCTATGGAGACCCCCATTGGGAGAGGGCTGCTCGCTCTGACTGGCCAGTGTCTGCAGTTGGTTCTCATTCTTCTCCAGCATTTCCAGGGTTTTCTTCTTCTCTATGGAGAGTTCCTGGCATCAAGGGAGGGAAAAGAGAGAGAGAAGGAAGAGAAAGAGCCTAATTTAGGTTCTCCACCGTGGCTGCCCTCACCTGCCTCCCAGCTTCAGGGAGTGATCCCCTCCGCTCTCAGGCCTCGGTGAGGCCCAGCTCAAATGTCTGTATTCCTCTCTTGAGGTAAACGGCCAACCAAGACTCCTTCCTCACAGCAAGGCAAGGTCACCCCTCCATCGAGAGTCAGAGAGGAGCCCAGTGAGGCTGCCCCGAGGAGGGGGTACCTACTACAACCAGGGCCCAAGATGCAAGGGCATCATGACCGTCTGGGGTTCTTGATCCTCCAGGGACAAGTGTGTAGGGGCCATGTGATAAACACCCAACAGGACCAGACCTAGAGCTGGTTTACATCGTCTGCATTTATCAGGCTGGGATCTTGCACTCCCCGGAAATTCTGGAATTGAAATATCCAAGGGAACCCCCTCCCACAATATGAAATGGAAAAAGATAAACAAATAAAGGCACCACAAACAAAGCCCCAGTCAGCCAAGGAAGAGTAGAATCCCTTGCGCTCTGCCAGGCAGCTCATGAATACAGTAAACACTATGCTCCCAGGTCACGCCAAGCTCGCTTTAAGCGCTGGGTTTGGGGAGACCTTAAGACACAGGTTAGCGAAGTTCTCAGTGTGGAAAACACAACCTAGTGTATTGAGAGCCATAACAGATGTACAAAGTGCCGTGGGAGCCCAGAGTTCAAAGCAAATTCCTGCCGCAAAAAGTCAGGGAAGCTTGACCACAGTGACATTAAACTGAGCCTTAGAAGGATGAAAGAGTTCTCCAGGCAGAAAAGAGGTAAAAGACCCTCCGAGTAGAAGGGACAGTGTGAGCAAAGGTGTGGAGGATGAGGGATCTTGGCTTCCTCAGGGCACGTGTGCTCAGTGTTTGGAGTAGGGGCTGGGTGTCTTCGATCGGGGTGTGGAAGGGCAGCAGAGGGCAACAGGGGAGGAGAGGCTGGCGCCAGAGTTTGCCCTTGCATGCCATGCTGAAGAGTTGGCACTTTGTCCTTGACACATGCCACGTCATCCCCTTCACAGTTTCTGTGGTATCAAATGGAGGTGATCAGAGCGTTGATTTCCCTTCATGCTCAATTTCACCCTGGAGTAGCTAAGTGAATGAGCCACAAGAAGGAAGTGGTGAGTGGCCTGCTACCCGTCCTAATCAGTCCTCCATCTGGTATAAAAATATAAGCACTGGAGAAGGTAGATTTCCTGAGGCCACGGTCACAGCAAGGGCGAACTTGAATTTGCCCTTCTGGGTCATGCCATGGGCCTCAGAAGTTGGCTGGAGTTCCCAATGGTCCACAGAGAGGGGCCCCGTAGACCAGTGCCCCTTCATGCTCTGTTTAGGTTTGCAGATGGCTCAGTAACTGGAGAAACACTGTTGGAAAAAACGGTATCACATGACCCAACTAACCAGCCTGCTTCCTGGTCAACCAGCCCACCAATGGCCCCTCACCTCCAGCGTCTGCTGCAAGGACTCTGTGAGGTGCCTCAGCTCCTTCTTCTCTTGCTCCACACCTTTGAGGCATCTTGCAGTCAGTTCTAGCTCCCTGCAGGGACAGAGGATATGGGTATATGGCAGTGCCCACCCCTCCCAGTCCCTTTTGTACACAGAATAGCTTGTTTCGCCTCCCAACAAGGCTCAGTGGGGTCCTTGGAAGGCCAGCCCCCCTGCATGACTGGGTCCTGCCAGCAGCTGTAGGGGCCCAGGGCTGAAAGAAGGAGACCTCTGCTAAGTGGGGTTGAAGTCATTTGCTCTAGCGACTCATGCCTTTGTCAGTGGGGAGAAACCCAGGGCCACGCCACACGCAGAGAAGCACTAGGGGAACAGGCAGGTCCTGGCCTCACCCTGTCTTCCATGGACAGTCCCTGCTAGAACCCACATTCACTCTGACATGGGACACAACCGAGACTTTTCTCCGGGGTGACAAACTCCTTGCAGCTTCCTTTTTCTTTCTTCTTTGCTGCTTTCTTAACAAACCTGGGCCACTTCAGGCTTTTATGCCTGGTTTCCCCTCCTCCTGCTCAATTTTCCAAATCCATCCTCAAGGGCCAACTCAGTCCAATCTCTGTTCAAGCCCATGAGGATTGTGCATATATTTTAATTCCTATAACACAGGGAGTCTGCCCCGTGCCTCCTAGCACTTGGCCATATATTATTGTGTTGATGTTTCCTAGATCTGAGTCTGGTTTTCTGAACCAAATCTCAAGAGAGAGGACTAGTCTTCTATTCTAGGGTCTGGCATAATTTTGGAAGTGAGTGGGTGTTTGGGCTATTTACTTAGTAAGAGTCTCTGAGATTCTCCCTCCCCAGGTTATGTATCTAATGACTTCCTTCGTAAGACTATTGCAGAAAAGTCTTCCTGGGCTGTCACTGATGATCAACAGTGATGATGATGGTGATGATGATGCAGATGATAACCATACCGCCACCAACAACAGTGCCCAGAGCAGGAGTCTCCAAATTCCCGGATAAGCTACATCAGAATGACCAAGGGAGCTTTTTAAAAATACAGATTTCTGGGCTCTACCTTTAGGAGATTCTGACTCCATTAAATAATCACAACGTGCAACTGGTTTGGAAGCCAGACACAGGACTAACGATCCCAAGGGACATCACCTGCCAGAATGTGAAGGGATTGTGCAAGAAAGACAGGGAATGCTGAGGATCTTAGCAGACGGCGCCTCCAGACCAGCTTGGCCGTGTCTGCCCTGGGTAAGGAAGGTTTGATGGAGGCAGGAGGGCTTGTTGCATAGGGGATGACTGTCTGCACGTGCACGTGCCTCAAGCCCCAGTGGGCAGAAGTGGCCCATCTGTGCGGGATCTACAGCTTTCTGGGGCACACCCCAAGGCCTGGAGCAAGGGTGTCCAACCTTTTGGCCTCTCTGGGCAACACTGGAAGAGTTGCCTTGGCCACACATTAAATACATTGCGACACATAATCACAAAAAACATCTCATAATTAAGTAAATTTACGATTTTGTGTTGGGCCCATTCAAAGCCATCCTGCACCACATGCGGCCCACGGGTTGGACGCCCTGACCCTGGAGCACTGGGAAGACAGATCAAACCAAGTCGTCAAGTAGTGAGGTTCCTGGAGAGGGCTGACCAGGGGCGTGACTTCTAGGTGCCCTCGCCCAGCTGCGCCTTCCTCCCGCTCCCCTCCAGGGCACCGCCACTACCTCTTGATCTGCTCCTGCTCCACTCTCAGCTCCTGTACCACCTCCTCGAACTGCTGCTTCTCAGCCTCCAGCACCTGGTTAAGGCGTTCGAGCTCCTGAAGAGAACAGAGAAAGCGGGGTCAAGGGCAGCAAAGGGGACCCCTGCTGTGACCTGGGGCGCCCTCTGGGATTCAGCACAGCCTGGGGCGCACGCCGGACCAAACTTGAAGTTAAGTCCTACGGAGACCTGGCCCCTTCAAAGACACAGATTGTCAACCAAACTGAAATCTGTGATGACCTGGGCTCACTTAAAACACACTTAGCGAGCTGAAGGCGGAGTTTAGGATTGATCCCAACATCATTTCTTGTGATATCTTATTCTAGATGTCACTCACACCCGAAGGCATGTTGGCTGACCCTCCAGCCCTGGAGGATAAAGTGGTGAGTGTATTTCCATTAAAGATCCCTGGAGTGACATTTACCAGAAGTGGCAAAAGAAAAAAATAAAAGCTATTTTCAATCCAAAAGTCAGGACATAAGAATTCTTAGTTTCTCAAGGCATCTGTGAAGCAATGAGTATATAAGTAGCTGCAGCTTCCCCTGCGCCCAGCCCCAAGGGAATGGAAGAGCCAGGAAGCCCAGGGCAGGCTGGCCCAGGGGGCCAAACCAGTAGCTCCAGGAATTCTGGCAAACATGTGGGTTTCTCACCGAGCATGTGCCCTCCAGGAGTCCTGCTTTCCTGGGTCTCAATGGCAAGTGGTATTGGGGGACACGCTTCAAGTGAAGCTTGGCTAGAAGCATTTTTGTGACGGCTGCTTTGCTCCTACACATTTCACACTGTGGAAGGGTTTAATTTCTAGGTCCACTTTCTTTCTCATCTTCTAGCTCCAAATTATACTCTCATTTTTCACCCAGGGGCTGAGTTCTCAAGGATCACGGAAACCCCACCAAGGAGTGGGGCTCCTGGAGGGCAAAGTTGCCATTGGCTTTGAGGAGATAAAACCTAAAGAAAAGGGAAGAGACTGATTCCAAACCCCATGTCCTCCTTTCCTAAACTCCTTACCCCCCAAAAGTTGCTCTTTCTGCCCTGGCCAGTGTGGCTCAGCAGACTGAGCACAGGCCTGAAAAACAAAGAGTCGCCGGTTCAATTCCCAGTCAGGGCACATGCCTGGGTTGCAGGCCAGGTCCCCAGTAGGGGGTGCATGAGAGGCAACCACACATTGATGATTATTTCTCTCTCCCTCCCTTCCCCTCTGTCTAAAAATCTTTTAAAAAGGAATAATAAAGTTGCTCTTTCTTTCTCTTCAGATCGTTATTAGCACTCTTGGTGTGGTTCACTAGTGGTCACCATGAAGGCTGTTCACTGGCATTCTGATGCCCCTCTGGGCACAATGCATGGCCACAGTGCACCTGCACAAGCGGGTGGGCCCGTGGGACAGACTAAGGCCAATGGAACGTGAGCAGAAGTGTGTCACTTCCAGGCAGATGCCGCTAAGAGATAGGGCATGACACACTATGTTCCCTTTCCCCAGCGATAAGGGCCAGTGTTGCTGCAAGTGACGAAGGCTGCATTGGCCTGGATCCCTGAGAGGTGATGTGGAGCTGAGTCCCCAGCTGACCCAGGTCGCTGAGTGAGAAATAGATGTTCACCATTCAAAGCCACTGATACTTTGGAGTTATGCATTATTGCAGTAGACATAGCCATATATAGACAAAATAGAAACTTAATTAAAATTTTATTCTTGTAGACCCTCCCCCTTTCAATGATAGAAAAGTTTAGTTTCAAAAAGTTCAAAAACCTCAATTTTACTACATTCTCAGTAGCTGACACTGGGTGTTGTTAAGGACGATAACCTCTCTGTGGCCCCCAATTCAAAAAACCAACTCTCTTCCTCTCTCTGATGGCCTCTGCCTGCTTGGCTGGGCTGTTCAGGGGCCTGGGAAAGTGGTAGGCTGCAAACATCCCTGAGCTTAGACTCAAAAAATCACAAGGGCAGCTGGTTCTTACAGGCACCTGGCTCCTGCTGCTTCAGAGCTGATCACCGAGGACACCGCTGGGGATGCCCCCCCCTTGGCTTCTCCTCACTGAAGAGCCCCTTTCTCCAGCACTCTGACTGACAAACAGCTCCCTGTACTTACCGTGGCGCTGGGATATCTTTTTGTAATTGAAAATGGGAGAAAGTAAATGATTAACACTCCATGGAAATGTCCATACACTGCTGGTAAGAGTGTAAATTAGGTACAAATTTTCTGAAAAGCAAGGTGGCAATAGGCGTCAGGAGTCTTGAAGTTTCTTGCCCTTTGAGTCAGTAATTCCCCCTACAGGACCCTATCCTACAGAAGTCATTAGAGAAGTAGACCAGGGTTGATATACAAGGATGTTCACTGTGGTGTAATTTATAACCACAGTTATAGCTGAGTGAAAACAGCTCAGATGTCCAAAAACAGATTAGTTAAATGAAACATCACATATTAACAAATCAGTACACAGTCACTAAAAATGATGTTTTCAAAGAATGCTGAATGACATGAAAAATTGCTGCAGGTACAATGTTAATACAGGTATGATGAACGCGCAGGCCACAAAAGTGAATATCTGATATGATCCTATTAAGCTTAAAATATATACGTAAGAATAATGCATTTTTAAAAACATGGGAAATAAACACAGAAGTTGACAGTAGTTGTCTGACAAGTGTGGGATTAAGGATAAGTTTGTTTTCCAAGTTTCCTGCAAAGACCATGATTTCTACCACTAGTGAAAGGTTACGTATTAAAGATGAAAGACAATCTCCTTCCTGGTTGCTCGCTTCTTTTCCACCTTTCATTTCCCCTGTACGGCTCTCAAATGAAGCTGATGTCCAGGTGCAGCTGAGAATGCCGATTAGAGTGGAACCTTCAGCCTACAAACGTGGAGTGGCCAGGACCTCCTGAGGCTGCAGCCCAGGACGCTGTGAGTGTTTGCAGCAACACTGTCACAGACTGCGGTCACCAAGACCTGCTTCAGCTAAAGCCTTTCCTCCCACAGTGTTTGTTCTCCTGACTATTGGCCTTGACGTAAGTTGCAGGAGTATAAGGTTGGACAGGAGTCACTAGACGGCAAATTCCATCTCAATGAAAGGAAGAACTTTCAAACAACGAAGCCACAATGCAAAGGTTACCTCCGGAGGGAGGGAATCGCCCATCAGAGGACCAGGACCAACATCCCTCAGGAAGGTCAGCAAAGAGCCTCACTTTGAAGTGGGAGGTGCTTTCCGACTCCAAGAGTCTGTGTTCTGACCGGAGCATGCGGGTGGCAAGAGCCCTGCCTGGCTGGCCCTGGGCATTTCTGATTTCCCACACGGCTGCCCGTGTGCAAGGCTGCGCTCTCATGGTTCTGCCAGAAAAGAAAAAAGGGCAGGCGGCTCTCCTCCAGGGAGTGTGAGAGATTAGGCCCTAGGGAGCCAGGGACATCAGAGGGACCTGGGATGAAGGAGGGCATGGCCCCCGGGCAGATGCGCCCAGGATGGCTGCCCCTGCGCTCTCTGCTCTCGTGCCCGAGTCCCAGGCCCTTTCCGTGCCGCGGGGGATGTCAGGGCTGCACCGTCCCAGGCACACAGCGGCATGGGCCCCGCCAGCCCGCCAAGGACTCCCCCGCTTTCTATCTCATTAAACCTCACAGCAACCCAGGAGCGAGGCAGGCACAGCCATTACTCTTATTGGAGGAGCAGCACAGATGGAGACGCTGAAGGTCAGAGAGGCTAACTTGTCCAAGGCCACACAGTTAGCAGTAAAGTTGAAACTAATCTAGGTCTCCTAACCCCATACCCTGAGTCTTCCTTTAGGCCCAGGGGCCTCTTGAGACCAGAGAATCTCCGTCTCATCACTGGGCCATTGTCGCAAATGCCCTTCTAAGTGGCACAAGGCACACCCAGACAATCTCCATGACTGAGAGTGGAGAGGGAAAGGGCGCAGGGAACAGGCAGACCCATTATATGGATGATTAAATTAAGGGAGGAAGATCCTGGACAGAGCGCCTCAGTGAGTTCTATTCCTGATCTGGAGCAAGCAGCTGACATGGGATCACGAGCCTGGGCACAGCCCTCTCCCTCCTGCCTGCCCAGAGCAGCCTTCACTGTGGAAACCAGCTGGGCCCCAGTGAGTCTCACTCACATTTTGTACCAAAAAAACCCACCAAAACCAACAACAGGGAGTTCACAGCTGACAGGCATCCCCCCTTCAGAGTGCTATGGCTTTAAGCAAGGCCTGTGTGCAGTGGGTCTCCACTGTCCTCATTTCCTGGCTAAAGACCTAGATAGAGTGTCTAAATTTTCCTCCAGCTGACTCTGCCCCAGATTTAGCCTCTCTGATGGATAAGCCTGTCTGTCTCCCTGCCAGGGGCTATGTCTGTCACTCCATCCCGTCCCCTGGCTTCTTGAGTTACCTGTCTTTAAGTCACTGATAGTCCACCAGAAGTATCCCTTCTCCAAATGTACAGAGCTGTAGGAAAACTTGCCAAAACACTCATGTGGGACTGAGAATGAGAACCTGGAGACCCAGAGGCCCAAATGCTGCCATCACCATGCCGGTCCTCAAATCCGCGCCATTCTAACACAAATCCACAACAGGTTTTGGTCTGGAAGTTTAGTTTGTTTGAATTTGGATTTTTTAATGGTTGTTAATTGGAAAAAAAAAATGATACTGAAGCCCGTCCAGGAGAATAAGTGGGCAAAAATATCTGATAAAATTTTGGAAGAAGAAAAATGAGGGTGAATTGTCCTACTGGATTAAAGTCAAGATGTAACATAAAATTGCAAGAATCAAAAATGTTCAATCAGCCCTGGCTGGTGTGGATCAGTGGATTGAGTGCCAGCCTGCGAACTGAAAGGTCGCTGGTTTGATTCCCAGTTGGGGCACATGCCTGAGTTGCAGGCCAGGTCCCTGGTTGAGGGGTGGTGGTGTGAAATCAACGTATCTCCCATACATTGATGTTCCCCTTCGTCTCTTTCTCCCTCCCTCCCTTGTTTCTAAAAATAAATAAACAAAATCTTTTTTTAAAATGTTAATTTGTTGTTAAAAGGTCTTCTTTGAGAAGAAAAAAAATTAAAAATATGAACAATAAAATGGCAATAAATACATATCTATCAACAATTACTTTAAATTCAAAGGGATTAAATGTTCCAATGAAAAGACATGTGGGGGCTGAATGGATAACAAAACAAGATCCTTTCATATGCTGTCTACAAGAAACTCACTTCAGATTAAAAGATACACACAGACTATAAGTAAAGGGACATCCCCCCCTCAAAAAAAGTAAAGAGATAGAAAAAGATATTTCATGAAAATGGAAACAAACAAACAAACAAAGCTGCAGTAACAATATTTATATCAGCTAAAAATAGACTTTAAAACAAAGAGACAAAGGACAACCTAGCAATTTCATTTCTGGGTATTTATCCAAAGAAACCCAAAACACTAAATCAAAAAGACATTCATATGTTTGTTATAGTATTATTTACAACAGCCAAGATATGGAAGCAACCTACGTGTCCATGAATAGATGAATGGATAAAGAAGTGGTGCATATATACAATGGAATATGACTCAGTCATAAAAAAGAATGAAATTTTGCATCTACATCAATATGGATGGACCTAGAGGGTACTGTGTTAAGTGAAATAAGTCAGGCAGAGAAATACAAATGCCAGATGATTGCACTTATACGTGGAATCTAAAATACAAAATAAATGAGCAAGCAGAACAGAAACAGACCCATGGATACAGAGAACATTCTGATGGTTGTCAGATTCGGGGGCAGAGGTGGTCAGGGCAATGGGTGAAAAAGGTGAAGAGACTAAGAAGTACAAATTGGTAGCTACAGATGGTCACGGGGATGTAAAATATAGCATAGAGAATGTAGTTAATAATTTTGTAATAAGTACGTATGGTGTCAGATGGGTACAAGATTTATTGAGATGATCACTTAGTAAGTTACATGATGTCTAATCAGAGTTGTATACCTGAAACCAATATAATATTGTCCATCAACTATAATTGAAAAATAATAAATTATGTAAAGTAAAAAAAAAAAAAAAAGGGTCATTCATAGAGTCATTCCAAGAACATTTAGGAAGTGCTCAACCTGGGCCAGGGACTTTGCCAGGCCCTGGGACTGTCTCAGGCACTATGGGGACATGACCGTAGGGCCTGTTTCAGAGCCCAGTAAGGGATGCCTGGGAAGGCTGAGCAGGCAGCAAGAGTCAGATCAAGAGTCAGGCGGTGAGCCAAGGCTCACGGCCCCAGCCTGTGACTCACCTGGGCAAGGACAGGGAAAAGCCACTGGGCAGAGAGAAGTGGCCTCCCTCTGTGGGTTTCTCTGGGCAAGCCACTCTGCAGCTGTGGGCCTCAAGCAATTCACATGCAGGATAGGCCCATAATTAATTACAACATGACTGTAATACTAACAAACACAGATATCCATTAAGCATGCATTATGTGCCAAGCATTTTCTATCTAACATGTCATTAATCCCCACAACACCCCTCGTTAGATGGGTTCAATTATTATCCTCAGTGTTCATGTGAGAACACTGACGTTCAGAGAGGTCACACAGACACAGTGTGGCTCCAGGGTCCATACTGCTAACCACGACCCCAACCTGCCCTGCTGGGAAGGAATGACTCAGAACAGGCAAGGCCCAATGCTGCATGGAGATGCCAAATACAGGGGACTTTAGTGGCTCCCCAGCCTCAAATGAGGCACAGGCTGCCTCAGGCCAGAGCTTGGCCCCCTTGGGACTTGCATTATCGACATTTAGAGCATGAAGGAACCCCTAAGATCTCCCAACCCCATCACCCTTCAGGTGCCAGAAGACCCTCTATGAATAGTAGAGGCCATCCCAGCCTCCTGTGAATATCATCCACGGACGGCAAGCAGCTCATTACCTACCAACACAGCTAATGAAATTCTGGGATGGCTCATTCTCTAGAAGGTGGCCACCTACCCTTTTTACGTTGCTCCCCAGGACTGGCCAGAAGAAATACACTACTTGCCAAGAAGCTACTGCAGATCTCAAGCACTGTCCTCTCACTGGCCCCCTGCTCCGCCAGTCTGACTTTCCAGCTGGTTCTCAGGGTGCGCAGCTCCCCCACACCCTTCCCTAACGCTGGAAGCATGAGCCAGCACACCTAGGCTGTCCAGGGCCCCCAGATCGGGAGACGGTGGAGAAGGGCAGCGATTCTGAGTGGCATCGGTGGGCACCCACCTCTCTCTGCTCCCTCTGCAGGCAGAGCTCTTCGGTCTCTTCCATCAGCTTGTCTGCCAAAGTGAGCACACACACACACTCCATGAAAAGCTCACTCCAGATCAGGTCCCAAGGGGTTGGTGGCACGGTCACCTCTGCACCCCAGCATCTCCCAAGGAAGAGGTCAGCACAACGGCACCAGGTCAGCCAAAGGGTGGGGCCGGCTCCTGGGGATGGGGACCGCTACCTTCCTTTCCTGTCATTGTCCCTGTTTTGTGCATTCACAAGTCAAGGATGGTCTTATCCTCAGGTGCTCAAGTGAGTCCCTGCAGCCCCAGGACGCTGTTTACCCCCGCACTAGTGTCTGGCTAGTGGGGGAGGGCCAGTCCTGGGCAGAGAGGGGTATCTGGAGCTGGCAGAGGGAAGCCAGTGTTGGGGCCCCAGGTGTCTAAGGAGGTGCAGGGAAGAGAGTCCCAGGGGAAGGACCAAACTCCAGACTCAGCTTCTTTCCCAAACAGCATGTTAACCAGCCAGTCAGGGGCACCAGGGCCTGGAACCTTGTTTAAAGTGGGCTGGGGTGTGATAGCTGGAGGCAAGCCTGGGACCTGGGGGCCCAGGGCAGGATAGCAACATGGGCTCCATTTACGGAGCCATTACTGCGTGCTTGACAGTGCTCCCACATGTTTTCCCATTTAACCCAATCCCCACACCAACTCTGACAGCTCGGGGCTATTTGTGTCTCCAGTTTAAGGATGAGGCAGTTGAGACTCAGAGAGGTTGTGCTGCCTAAAGACATTCACAGCTGACAAAGCTGGGTCAAGAGCCCAGGCTCCTAACCACCAGGCTCTCCTGCCTCCTGTCAGGGTGGCCAACAGGATGTTTATTGGAAAGACCTCCAGGCTCCAAGCTGGTGTCTGGCTCCTCGAGGCCTGCTAAGTCCCACCCAAGACACAAGGACCTCTGTCCTCCAGCACGCCCCTGGGCCTGAGGTGCCACGATCAGGGAATCCCAGCTTCCAGCCCACCCCTCCAGCCAACCTAAGTACTCCTGCTTCTCCTTGGCCAACTGCAGCCCCTGGGCCTCCAGGCTTTTGATCATGGCTTCTCCGAGCTGGGCGTTCTTCCAGGTCCTGGGGAGGGAGGGCAGATGGGACGGAGCAGAGGAAGAAATACAAAATCGTGAAAACAGAAGAGTACAGGAGAAAGAGGATGTTAGTGTTTTTTGCTGTCCTGTGCCTTCTCTCCAGAATCCCGGTTCACATTCACCCTGGCACCCCCGGCTCTGGGCACGCCACCAGCATCGATCAGTTACGGCCCCTGGAGGCTGGCCCAGGCTGCAAAGTGGGCCACTGTGGGCTGGGCCAACAGCACTTTTGGAACAAAGAGGAGATTGCTTCCTGGTTGCTTTCCACAGCACCGACTGCCTACCATGCGGCACAAGGCCTGGCACAGAGCACGCACTCAGGGTTATTTGTTGAACTAAAAGCATGACCCAGCTTGAACAGGCAGGTGCCAGGACCAGGGTTTACGGGCAAATGAACTGTGTTGGGCTGGAGGCCACTGTGATATGGGCCCTGCTTTACAAAGCTCTGGTCTGTGCCAGGATCCATGGTGGGTCTGGGGACTTGAAATGGGGATGCAGAGGCAGTAAAACCCTACTAGTGATGCTGGACTCACTCTGAGGGTTGGAGGAAAATGGTGTCCACACCTGCCACCTGCGACTCTAAACCAGTAAAGCTCACTGTGCTTGATCAAGGCTCACTTAGGAGACCCCTCCCAGACACTCTAAACCTGGCCTGTATCCCCTCTCGCCCACCCTAACCAACTCCCATGGCCCTGTCCTCAAGGAGGCCCAGGCATTTCCCTCCCACCCTGCCCTCAGGGCCCACTGGGACCCCAGCGGAGAGGGAGGGGAGGGTGAGTCCCACCCACACCCCCTCCCCTCGGGACCCCCTGCCCCCTCCCCTGCCGGGAGCACTTACACCTTCCCCGACTCCTGCAGCATCTCCAGCCACTGCGTCTGCTCAAACTCGGACTCTGCCGCCAGCAAGATGTTCCCCTGCCAGGAAGAGGGGCCACGGTGCACCTGAGAGAAGGCCGCTCTGAGGACAAGGAGGCCGCCCCAGGCCTCCGTAGGCCTGGCTCTTCTCCCCCCTGACCCACATCCTTATGGCACTGACTCCTCTCCCAGGCCAAGTCACCAGGGGTTGCCCCCAGGGACCAGGGGATCCCACGGAAGCTGCCCTGTCCCTGCGGAGCCCACGCTGAGATGAGAGCTTTACTCACATGAAAGTCCTGGTGGGAGATTTTCATGGCATAGGGCATGCTGGGCTCTTCCTTAGCCTCTACCAGGCAGCCCCCGAGAGGGATGACGCCCTGAGAAAGAACCAGAACAGGCCGCTCTCACCTCACCCAGCCCAGGTCACTCCAGGCCTGTGGGAGTCCTCAGCCAAAGCCCGGGCCTGCAGGCTGGGAGCCAGACCAGAGCTCCTGCTGCAGGGAGAGGCAGGGCCGGGCCCCAGGGCACGGGAGGCTGGGGGCCCAGCCCAGAAGGGGCAGGGGATCTTGTGCCCTAGGAAGGATTTGTCCTCCAGGCTCTGTCAGACCAGGGACAGAGACAGTTTCCTCCCCTGGCAGAAGACCCTCCCCCAGTGCCCCACTCGGTCCTCCCCTGCCTTGGCCGTGCGGAGAGGCCCCCTCACCTTCGGATGTATATTGAAGTATTTATTGGTTTCAAAGCTCTTTTTTTCACTTTCAGAGTAGTAAAGAAGAAAGCTCTCTTTGATGATGAAAAACCTGCATCCGGAGGTGGAGAAAGAGGGACAACCAGGAGAGAAGGGTGAGGTTTCCCAGGACAAGAAGCAGGTCCTTGGGGGCCCTGCACTCACATGGGGAGCCCCTGGCGACACCAAGACCCGTCCTCACCCGCTCACGCTCCACATCTGGGCAAAGGCCTCAGCCGGCCAGCTGCCCACCGCCCGAGGCAGCGCGAGCCTCGCTCCAGGGGGCAGCTGAGGTGAGAGGCCCACAGCAGCCCCCAGGGCCGGCTCCTCCATCCCTCTTGAGCTGCCACCCTTAGCACAGGGGCACATCTCTGCCACATCCTCCTGGGCACCCTCAGCCCCTTGAGCCATTGTCTCCAGTCCTTTAGGGTCTATCCCAGGTCGGGCAGAAGGTGGAGGGAGGGAAAGAAGATACAAGATTCCAAGACAGGTCTTCTGACAAGCGACCAGGAAAGCTGGCGATCAAACAAAACAATGTGGGAACCGGGCTCACGGCCGGCTGCACCCTGAGTGTCACATGGGCATTCCCTTTGCTCTGCAGCCTCCTTCTGGGACTTGGGTCCCACTTAGGGTTTCTGGGACCCTGGTGCTTTCTGGCTGTTGGGGAGACGACAGTCCTGAGGCCCACACGGGGGGGTACTTGGACCCCCCTGGGGACCACCTCAGGACTAATGATCAGAGCAGATGAAGATAAGAGGACCCCACTGGGCCTTGAAGCCCCAGGGCTCAGGGACACCCAGGGCGGCTGGCTCCTTCCTCCCAGGGCCCCTGCTAATGCCGCTGTTGCAGCGATGGGCCTGGGGGAGCTGGGAGCGCAGTGAGCTGGCGCCGCTCAGCTGGGCTCACAATAGCCAATGGCGTGAGTCTCCTCTGCTCTGAGTTCGGTGACATTGTGTTGGTCGCTTGGTATCAGTCACAGTGGGAGTATTTACACCATGAAAATCATCAGATGCTACAAAACACTGTTCCACCCCACACCACCCCGAGACCCCATTGTTAACCACTGACCAGCACCCCTCTTGAAGGGGGCCTGAAAAGTTGCTGGTGGGCACCATGAAGTCAGTGACTCTCTGAGGGTTCCCCCAGCCACCTGATCCTTCCTGAGGCCATAGCTGCTGCGCGGAGGGCCCCTGGGACTGCTGACAGCTGCCATCCCCCTCCTCCAGGAAAATGGAGCACACTTTGTCTTTTGGTGTGTGTCTTACGCCCATCCACGTTCTCGATTTGCACTGACCCTCTCGGCCCAACCATTCGCCAAACAGAGCTGTGGGCCTCGGAGGTGGCACTCTGCTAATACCAACTCTTCCCAGGCCTTTCGGCCCCCCGTAGGGAAAGAGCATAGGGACACCACCCTCAGCAGGATGGTGAGGACCTTCTGGGCCCCCCAGCACCTGACCCTTGCCCACCTTCTCAGCTTCCCCCCTACTTTTGCCTTCAGCCTCTCAGGTGAACGCTAAGCTCACTGCTTCCCTCCTCACTATGTCCTGTAGGATCCTACAAAGACCATGCAATGCCCCCTGGAACGCCCTTCCTCTCGCCCTTCAGCTGGCAGAAGCCTTCTCACCCTTGGCGACCGGCCCAGCCCACACTGCCGTCTGAGCGCCTCCTGTACCCCCGCTGATTGGGCTGTGCGCTGGCACTTAGAGCCACCGCCATACCCCGTGTGCCCATCTTGTCCCCAGGATGACATTGGGCTCCTGGAGGATAGCCGTATCTCCTCCATCCGGTGAGCTGAGGGACCTTCACAGAGTCATTAACAACACAGGCTTTGCATCACATAGACCTGCCACTTCCCGGCTGGGGGGCCTTGGATGAGTAAGCTCACTCTCTGAGCTTCAGTTTATTTACCTGGAGAACGGGGGCGATGACACCCACTGCATCTGATCACTGTGAGGATCAAATGAGATTGTGCTTACCACTCTGCCAACATGCTCCAGGACAGTTCCTGAGTGATGCATCCCCATGGCCTGGACATACGTCACCAACAGAAAAATGTGAGCCAGGCAGCACAGGGTGGCCGCCTGGGGACACTTCTCTTCCCCTTTTGATGGTTTCTGAAATACTCTCATGGACTGAACTATGCCCCCCCAACACACAATTTGTATGTTGAAGACCTAACTCCCGATGTGACTGTATCTGGAGATCAGGTCTTTAAGACGGATGGGAAGTCCTCCCTTACTGCCGTTGATAGGTTCTGCGACTTTAAGCAAAATGACAAATCATGAAAGTAATTTTACCATAGGCTAATTGATATAAATGAGTTAAGTTCCTATGGCCTCTCATCAACATTATAATGAAGTGAGGTTGAACAAAATGACATTGTTCGAGGACCTACGGTGATAAGGTTAAATGAGGTCAAAACAGCGAGGCCACCACAATCTGATGGAACTACAGCCTTATAAGAAAAGGAAGCATTCTCTCGGTCCCTGCCACGTGAGGACAGAGTGAGAACGGAGACTTCTTCAAGCCAGGAAGAGGACCCTTTCCAGAACCTCGCCATGCTGGCACCTTGACCTGGGACTTCCAGCCCCCAGAACAGTGAGAAAATGAATTTTTGTTGTTTAACTGAACCGTTTAACAGACGGTTACCATCTATGGCATTTTGTTATGGGAGGCTGAGCTGATGAAGACAAATACTTTCTTGCTTCCCCAACACTTCTAGGGCCTTTCCCCGTCTCAGGGCAAAGCCCTGTGCCAGGGACTTGGGGGTGGGGTGTGGCAGGCAGAGGATCACTAGACACGGGGGCAGAAGGAGAAGAGGGGCTCTGGGGTCCAGTGACCTCCGTCCCTCCGGCCACAGCCTCAGGCAAGCTCCCAGACTGGCTGAGCCACCTTTTCCAAGTTCCTCTGTAAAATGGGACTATGAGTATCTGTCTCTTGGGGCTGCTGTGAAAATTCACTCATTGATTTAACAAACAACTACCATGTCCTTTCTGGGCCCTGTGGAGTTGGGCTGGCTGTGCAAGGGTTGGGTGTTTTCATGGGCAAGCTGCTGTGCTAAGTGCTCTGAGAGTGTCAGAGTATTTGATCTGGGTAACTCTCTTGCAAGGTAGGCTTAGGGGTGAAGTAATGTGTGCGAGGTCACACAGCCAGGGCAGAGGTGGAGCTGGGATTGGAACCCACCGACAACAGTCCCGGCTCCTACTTCCCACATGACACTGTTTAAGGAACTCCTTCCTCCCTCGCGCTAGCACCTGGGCAGGAAACAGATGTGCCAGCGGCTGTAGGTATCAAGACTGGGGTAATCGAGGGTCAGAGCTCTGCCACTTACCATCAGGGTGACCAGGGCAAGTCACCTGATCTCTCTACGCCTCAGATCCCTCAGTGTAGCTTGAGGATTATAATAGTGCCTAGATCTCTTAGGATTGTCTAGATTAAATGAGTTTGTTCACATAAAGATTCAGAACACTGTGTGACACATGATATTCAATAAATGTTTAATTTTATTAGTACTATTATGATTAGATTCAGTATCTGCTGCAGCCTCCCCTGACCTTTCTCATTTGTGCTCACACAGTTCCTACCAGTGGGAGCTCTTGGCTCCAACCCCGCTGGCCAGCTCCCTGTCCCCTGAGCTCACGGTGCTTTCCCTCCCTCCTTTCTGAAGCCCCTCCTTCCATTGAGGCCCACCTCTAGTCCTGGGCGAAGCTTTGTCTTCAGCACAGGCCTTAGGACCCTCTTTGCCCACCCCGTTGGGCTGTGGTCAAGGCTGGAGAGCGTGTGCGAGGTACAGGGTCTGTGTCAATCTTGGCTGCCTCCTCTCTCCAGTCATCAAAAGTGGTATTTTCACCTCTAGACTAAGGGGCATTTACAAGGTGCCAAGACACACACTCTGCTAAGTGTTTTATTGATACTATCTTATGTACATCTCTCACAATCACTTTAAAGGTGGAGATATCTGTTTTTCTATTTTACTGGTGAGGAAACTGAGGCACAGAGATTAAGCAACTAGTAAGCGGCAAACTTGGAATCCAACTTTGTCTGCTGACAAAGCCCACCTTCTCCACCAAGGTGCTCCACGGTGCCTGGTCCTCCTCACCCAGTGGCACTGTCGTGTCTGCTAGTTCTGGCCAGCTCAGGTCAGAGAGCCTTGAGGAACTACCTGGCACACTCCTACGCTGGGCCCCCAGGCTTCATGATTCCCAGCCCTCAAGGAGCTTATAGTTAAATGAGGGAAAGAGAACAGAACTCAATAGTTTGCAAAGTAACTAATGTTTCTGGATCTCTTCCTTTGTGCCAGGCCATGTTCTAGAAATACCATTATGTATGTTAACTCATTCAATCCTCACATGAGGTAGGTGAGGTGATGAGCACAGAGAATTTAAGTAACATGCCCCAGATCATGCTGCTGGTAAGTGGGGAGCTGGGGCAATTATAAATGTTTCCCGCAACACTGTAAAGCACCAGGGTGCCCTGTGACATTGTAAGTTTGTATGAGATACAGGAAGAGTGCAGGCCAGGGTGGAATGAGATTTAGGTGTCTGGCCAAGGGAGTCCTCCGAGAGAAGGGTCTGAAGAATGAATGGGAAGGATTATCTTAGGAACCTAAGGGGCGGAAGGGGGAGGTGGGTGCATTCCAGAGAGCAGGAGCAGAGGGGTGTAAGGGGGTTGGAGCCACCGGCTCCATGGTTCCCCTGGCACTTAGTGGACACTGTCAATCAGCTCCCTGAGGCAGGGACCCACTCCTTCTTGTGCCACCTTACACCTGGGGGAAGGAGGCACAAGAGGGAGTGTGGCTGCCCCTGCTGCAGGCAGGACTTGGCTGGGCCCTCCTCATCGGGGCTCCAGCCTTGCAGTGGTTCAGAAGGGATCTGGGCAGGGACTGGAATTCTGGAGAGAGCATTCTAAACCCCGGGGAAGAGTTCAGCTGTGTGCCAGACCAGCCCTACCATGGGGCTAACACCGGCCAAGGCTGAGAACGCTCCACCCCTTTCCTCCTTGTCGCTGAGCTGCCCGGGGCTTTGCCAACAGCACCTCTGTCTCCACTGCTCACAGAGTAAGGGGAGAAAAGCCTTCAACCTCACCCTCCAAACACCTCTCCCTGATGCTCTTATCTCTGCGAAGTGATGTTTTTTACCCCTTTCTCCTTTTGTTCCCCATAGGAAAAAACAAACAAACTCAGCCTTTAGCTCAAGGGCATCTTCCCAGCTGAGGAAGGGAAGGGCTGCTTGGGCGGTAGAGGCTGGAGGCCCCGAGATGGACCCCGAATGGAAGATGTTTTGTGAAAGCCAGCTGGTCACAGCCGGTTCCATCCTGCCCATTCCTTATTTATGCAGCACAGAAGACTTTCCAGGACCCCTCCTCGCAGCTGCCCAGCAAGGGCATCGATCGCCCTAATGGCACAGCTCTGTGGGCTGGGCCTGGGCTGCCCACTCCCCAAGCCTTGCTGTGGCTGCTAATTAGCTGAGGTCCAGAGACTACATCCACTTCACAAATGGGGAACTGGTTCCCAGGGGGCTCTGCTGGGAAGTGAGAGGGGTCTAAGCTTAGCATCATGCCTCTCCCATCCCCAGACGTTGGCTGGCTCTGTCACTGGCCCAGGCTAATAAACTGAGTGTGTGTGTGTAAGGGGGGTTGTATTTCCACAACTCTGAACATGGACAGAGGACAGAGTGATCAGATAGGATGTTAGTTCTTTCCTGAGCCCCAGAGGAAGGGAAGTCTTTGCACAGTAGCAACTCTAGAATTCCTAGACTGGATGGTTTTTTGAGTGGCCGTGGGACTACTGAGGGAAATTCTTGGGGTGTGGGGGTGCTACAATTCTCCAAGTCCTCCTCAGCTCCACCACTGCCTTTTAGCTGGGAGCCTTTGTCCCTGACACCTCCCAGCCCTGGGATCAACTCTGGGTGCAGAATCCATGTCTTCGCCATGTGGATGAACAGGGGTCAGAGACATAGCCTCTGTGGGGTCGGGGCGGGGGGGTACTGGTCATAGGCTCCTAGCATTTACTAGGCATGCAATCAGGTGGAAATGCCTGGCAGGAGAAGTCCTGGATAACAAGGCCCAGAAGCAAAACCAAGGACAAGCAGCCAGACCCAGTGGAGGGGCGTTGGCTGCTTGGAGCAACTGAGGCAGAAGATAGAAAGGTAGGGGCATGATGCTGATGGTATTTGCACTTCCAAGCACCGGAGTGCCCCGACAGAGACAAGGCTGCTCCTGGCCCTCGGGAGCCATGGCTCAGTCAGCACAACACTGGGAGCCCCTCGCAAGGTGTGCCCCATGCTGCCCCAGGCCTCTGCTTAGGGGATCAAAGATAAGCTTAACTCTGGAGGAGCTCAAGGAGCCTATATCCCACTAAATCCCAGAGAGAAACCAAGAAGGACTAATAAAAGTGTGTATGTGAAACCAGCTATGTAATGTGTGAGACACCACCATTCACAGCTCCATTTGTTCTGTGGTCTTGTAGAAATATTAAATTATTCATCAAAATAGAATATTAGAACCACTACTAACTACATCCTCGCGACCTGTGCTCCGGGGGATATCTTAAGTCCCTCACGGTGTGGGACGCAAAGGGGCATCAGGTGCATCCGGACACACTCCTAGTTTCCTGGCAGGGCCACACCTCCAGGGAGCAGGATCAGGGTCGGGTTCTATAGGCCATTCCAGTTGCAAATCTCAGAACTGAGATTGGCTTGAAGGTGGAAACTGTCCGGAAGATGGTCTGTTGCTCCCGAAACCAGTGCATGAGCTCCCCTTTCCTTTCCTTTATACCTTTCAGGCTCGTTCGTAAGTGCAAAGTGGCTACGGATGTCTGGAGAGTGGCCTCTGAGTTAGGGACCAGGAAGCCGCGGCAGCGCCGACCCCTTCCCACCCCCCTCCCTCACACACACCTTCCAAGGGATCAGTTCTTCGCAGGGGACCAATCCATCCCCTCCCCCACTCCCGTCAGTTTCTGCTCCATTTCCACCTTAGCTTAGTCCTTCCCCTCTGTTCCAGCTTCTCTGCTTGAAGCACTGGGATCTCTTCCCTCGGCCCAGGGTTGTGTTTGTTTGTTTGTTTGTTTGTTTGCAATTATTTCAAGGGTTAGTTGGAGTGGCTGCCAACATCGGCTCCTCAGGGCTGGGCACAGACCCTTTCTGGGCCTTCCTCCCTCCCCTGGCCTGAGCCTTTCAGAAGCTCCCACAGTGCGCCCCGGTGGGGTTAGGACACCCGGGCCACACCTCCAAGTCCGCTCGGTGGCCTGGGGGAGGGGTGTTGTGAAGCTAATAGAATCGGCAGTGGGGGTCCCAGGAGACTATCTTGGCTGGAGATGGAGCTTCTCCTTAGGAAGCAGAGTCTGGCCCAACCCGACCCAGCCAGGCTCCTACCACAGCCACGATCTCTTCAGCCCACACCTAACTTCCCCACCCGGATTTAGATCTATTCCACAGAGAGAATTCACCGCCCCCTAGCCCCGGCCGGTGGTCCCACCCCAGCTCCACCGGCCCTCGGGCAGAGATGAACCCGGCCCAGGCTGGGATCCACACTTTTCAGGGGAGGCAGCTTAGAGTGAAATGAGGCGAGGCCAAGGTCACAAAGGGAGGCAGAGGCAGGATGTTAATAAAGGGGATAGAAGGGGGTCCACAGGCCCTGGTCTCCCTCCCCTGGTGGTCCTCAGAGGGCACGGGAGGCTCACTCACCGCCGGGACCACTTGGCGGATGGCCGCCCGAAGGGCCGCTTCCACAGCACGCCGTAGAGCTGCACTTTGGTGCTGATGTCCAGCGCATCCGAGTCAGCCTGCTCCAGGGACGGCGACGGCGACACCGAGTTGGACTTGGACATGAACATCCCGCCTTAGTGGGGTTGCCCCCTGCCCTGTCCAGCCAGTCCCCGGGCCGGCAGGGAAGCTAGGTTCCGGGCGCGGGCGGACGCGCGGCGGGAGGCTGCGGGGAGGCGGAGTGGGCAGGCCGCTCAGGGCGCCGTCGGGGCGCGTCGCAGCGAGCGGAGATGGGGGGCAGCCGGGCCGGGAGCTGCCACATTAAAGCGTGCGGTCCGGGAGCGCAGCGCCGAGGGGCCCCGGGGCGCGGGGCGCGGGGCGCGCAGCCTACAGCTTGAGCTCGGGATTGGGGCCGGCCCGGAGGGAACTCGGCGGGGAGCGGGCCTCAGCCTCCGCCAGCAGCATCCCCACCCCGCCCCGCCACCTTCCCGCGTCAGCCCCAATTCTGGTGGCCCGGATTGGCTGGGCGGGGCAGGTGAGCTGGCTGGAGGCCTGTCGCGAGCGCCAATCAGTGCTGGCGCCGGCTGGAAGGCCGGGCTCCGTGCGTCCGGAAGGTCCGGGCTGGTCGCTTGGCCTGGGAAGCGGCTACTGCACTTCCCCACCCCCACCTCTCGCGTTGCTCTTTCCCGGGTTCCTTCTTGTGTTCAGCACTGACATTGGTACTGGGAACAACGTTTGCCTTGTGATGGGCTTGGAGTCACCCCTGCAGATCCCTACACGCCTCTGGGCGGGGAAGGGTGAGGAGCAAGAGTTTGGGGTCAGACATCCCCAGTTCGGGATGATTCTGGGTTTAGAATCCCCACTCCGTCCTTACGTAGCTCCGTGAAGATGCGGTGAGCCTTGGTTTTCTCACCTGAAAAGTTTAGATGCCTGTGCCTCTTCAGGCAAAGCGGTGGCCAAGTAAGACCAAAGTTAAGTGTCCAAAGCGCCTGCCCCAGAGGAGGCTCCATCCCGGCCGGCGGCCGCTCCCTGCCCTCCCCGCCTCCTCAGGTGGGTGTCACTGTGCGCCGCCGCCGCCTCACGGGGATCAGGTTTCTTTTCCCGGAGCTTGGCCGTCTGCGTCGGCGTTTGGCACTCAGTGCCAAGCCCCAACTGCCAGCGCAGTTGGTGTCTGTGATTTATCTGCGCGCCTCGCCCGTGCTCGCAGGGCCGGCGCTCCACCCACGTCCGCACCTCTCAGCCACTCTAGGTGACCGTCCCACTTTCAGGCCCGGGCAGACTTCTGTCTGGTCCCTGGGGACCGCCCGCGGGAAGGCTGTGTTCGCACCACTGTCTGCCGGCACCAATCCAATGGCAAAGGAGTGAGTTGCGCAGGATGAGGCTGCCAGCCAGACCGCGCTGCACTCTCCCCAGGCGGAGCAGCCGGCCGCAGGCCGCCTCCGGGCAGGCAGGATTCACCTGCGCCCTTGGGAAAACCACTCCCCTGCTCAGGCTCTGTGATTCCTCGTCTGTGAAAGAAGTCCGATTGGAACAGAAGTTTGCAAATAAGGAGTCTGAGCGCCAAGTCAATTTAGAGACAGACTTTAACTTCCCCGTGTAAAAAATTGAGGTATAATTATTATATGATAAAATGCATAGATCTTAGGTATTTATTTGATGAAGTTTATCTGATGAACGTAGAGCAACCACCACCCAAAGCAAGATGCAAAACGTTTCCATCACCCCAGAAAGTTCCCTCACGCCGCTCCTGTCCAGTCAACTCCATTGTCCCCCACTCCCTCCCAGGCAACCACTTTCCGATTCTTAACATTTGCACACTTTTTTTTAAGTTTAAAATTTTAATACCTAAAATGGCCTTCTCCTGCAGAGCCACCATGCTTTGCACAGCTTGCTTCCCTCGTTTACTGCCTGGCTCCTGGTAGGCTCTGGGTTTGTATCCTCACTAGATGCTTCTTCCCCAGGCCTTCCCAGGTGTCACATTTAATGAGCCCAGTGAGGAAGAGGCCCCCCAAAGGGCTCCACACCCAGGCACCCTTTTCCCTAACCAGCTCTGGGGGTTCCCGAGCCCAGGAGGCATCCCCTTGTTGCTCACTGTCCGAAGGGGCCTATCGGAACTCTTACGTGTCCTGGCAGAAAATTACAGGCCAGGCCTGTACACACGGCCCAGGATCTGGCTTCATCAGTAGGAGGAGACAGGACTAGGAAGAGGAGAGCCCATTTCACACGGTTTCGGCTATTTTTGACATGTTCTAACGCTGGGAAAATTTCCCACTCTGGGAGTCCTCCTTTCCCGAGATGGAAGCTAGAAAACTTGTTAGAAGCCTATTGGAGTTCACTGGCCAGGGGCACCAGGACAGGACACTGAACTCAAAGTGGCAGGTGACAAATGTGAGGAAAAACCATGCCCAGGCACCCGTTTTCTCAGGGGAAGGTGGTACTAAAGGCATCTGACTTGCTTGGGGAGTCAGCTGTGGCAGCAAGGTTGTGTTACTAATGCAGCCAGCGGCATTTGCCGTGGCCTCGGTGGCAGCCACTAGTAGGTGGGCTCCTGGCTGCACACATATGGCAGCATGGAGGGCTCTGTGACAGCAGCGGCTTCAAGTTGCTTCCGCAGCATGGTTTGGGGTGGCATTCCTGGAGGCTTCACCTCCGGTCAGGTCTGGTTCTCTAGCCCTGCCCATGTCTTTTTAAGAAATTAATTTTTTTCTGCTTAATCAGGTCAGTACCAGCTAGGACTAGGGATGAGCTCATGAACCACAGGTGGGAGAAAGGCAGGATACCTGGGGGGGGGGAAATCATTCTTAAGGAAGTCCTTCCCAAGCAGGAGGGCTGGGTGGAGCATAGATGGTTCCTGGGAAAGGTTCAGTGTCTTCAATGGAAGAAATAGAGGACAAGTTTCCTCAGGGCAAAGAGAAGACAACCTTGCCCACTCCCTCTGCATACTGGACTCTGTGTACACCTTAACTGATGGCAGGTAAAGCGGGTGGATACAGTCCCCTGCAGTGAACAGCATGAGTATGAAGGACCACTAGATACTTCAGTGGCTTCTGCTTTGCTCAACTAACCAGCCCACATCATGCCAAAGCAGCCTTGGGAGAAGCTGTTTCTGCTTCCGTTGTGCCCTCTGCCCCAGCTGGTGAAAGTGCCAAATGCCTGGCAGACAGTTCTGTGAAAAGACAAAACAAGCTGGGTGCCAACCCAGTGCTCCAGACCAAGTGCGGGCGAGGGCTGCCCAATCTTATCAGGGACTGGGGGAAACCAGCCAGGGATGGAAACTCAGGGTCCTGAGAGCCCTACATGCGCAGACAGAGCTGACGTTCACAGTGTTATTTTATCTTACCCATTTCATTTACTCTTTGAAACAGCCCCTATGAGCTATGTATTATTTCTCGTTTTCCAGATGAGAAATAACGAAGTTCAAATGGGTTGTCTACCTCAGGTCACTCAGCCAGTCATTCCCTGGAACGTGATAGGCACTCGACTATGTGTCAACTGAGGGGAAGTGGCAGGATCAAGAGTGACTTGATGTGGCCTGTCCTAAGCTCACATGCAGCACGCTGCAGCACAGTGCCCTGTGAAGTGCCGTCTGGGAAAATGCTAGACCTCTCCTTCAGTCTTTCCCCTTTTTTCTAATAATTTTTCTCAACTGCCACCTCATCCAAGACTCCAAGTTCCTGCAGAACTGAAGATGCAATTCTATTTGCACTATAAATACCAGCCACTCAGCTGTTTAGGGATAGACTCCTAACGAGCACACATTTTCTTTTTTTTATGGTTTTCCCCCCTGCATTATTAAGATATAACTGAAAATAAAAATTGTATATATTTAAGCTGTAAAACAATTTTTTAAGGTGTAAAATGTGATGATTCAACATATGTGTACACTGGGAAATGCTTACCATGATCAAGTTTGTCAACACATCGATCACTTCATACATAAACTTACTGCTTTTGTGGACACTTAAGATCTACTTTCTTAGCAAATTTCAAGCACTATACAGTATTAACTGTACACTAATCTCCAAAACATATTCTTTCAACTGGAAGTCTGTACCCTTCAACCAACATCTCACCATTCTCCACACCCCCCAGCCGCTGGTAACCACCCTTCTCCTCTCTGGTTCTATGAGTTGGACTTCTAGATTCCACATGTGAGATCATATAGTACTTGTCTTTCTGTCTGGCTTATTTCACTTAGCTATGTGTCTGTGTCCCTTCCAGACGGAGCTTCTTGGGGACAGAGGCCAGGGCATGCAGTAGGGGCTCGACAAATGCTTACTGACCAGTCTTCACTTGGGCCCTGTTCCCGTGCTGCAGTTTCTTGTTCGGGTTTGCTAGCCAGACGGAGCCTGGCCTCTCAGGGCCTCGGCTTTGCCTCACCTATGAAACAGAATCTGTGAAGTGGCTGAGAATTTATGCGAAAGCAATCTTTAATGGCCAACTTGCCACCTGCTTTTCATGTTAAGATGGGTTTAAGGCCAGACTCTGCCATTAACTGTGTGAACTGAAGACAATCACTGGCCTTCTCCGAGCCTTCCAACTTACACCACGTCGTCCTCTTCAATTTTTCAAATGCCTCTGCCATGTCGCTACAGCAGGGTCCCCCAAGGAGTCCTCACTCCCCACCAACACTCATGTGATGTTTGCAAGTCCAGAGATGATCATGTGAGCTTCCTATTTAAAACCCATGGCTGAGACTCAGTTCCTTCGACTCCAGCTCCCAACTCCTGACACTTGATGGTCACACCCTCCACAGTCTGGTCCTGAGCTACTATTCGGGCTCTTCCCATTGCTCCCCCACCCCCTGCTCCAGCCACACTGGATCTAATATTCTGAGAAGCCATCATGCTCAAAGGACTCTTCTGTGAAGCCTTTTCTGCTGCCACCTCCCCCTTTTCTGAGGATTAAAACACCTTTTCACTGAATTGTATGCTACTTTGGCTGCATTTCCTAAGGCCAGGGCTAGGGCTGAGGCTCCTTTGTGGCAGAGCTTGGCTGCCTGAGAAGAGGAGGCGGGGTGGAGGAACCCGGGAGGGAGAGGAGGCAGGGTAGAGGGCGTCACAGGCAGCTTTGAAGCCAGTAGGCCAAAGGACTAAGGGGGTGGGCATCAAAGGGGAGCATGTCCCCTTTAATGAAGGAGACCAGAGGGTACAGGAGTGTTAG